TAAATTGAGTAAAATAGTTAAAAGGTGCTCAGATGTTTTGCTCCTATGGGTTAGTACGAAGTATGGCCTATTGCAGGGGGTACGGGTTGGTCGAGTTAATATGGTTAGGCCTTTTAGAAATTAGGGCAAAAGTGTTAAAAGTTGCTTAGCTCCAATCGAAGCTTTCAACTTTTTGAAGTCGGAAAAAGGAAGTAGATCATGCCGTTTTGACATCCAAATTCTAACAAAAATTGTTAGGCACTAACTTCACGTTCTTACACTGTAGACTGTCCCTGAGTGTGCACTTGAGCATGACTTAGGTGGTAGTGGTGTTGGGTGTTACGATACCCTCGTAAATTTGCTCTAACTTCGTTAAAACATGTCTGAATCGTGTCGTTGGCGCTCTGTTCATGAACCGATGTTCAGAGCGACGAGCCCATGTTGGCATACATCTATCTTCTCCTCTAGTTGCTCCCTGCTCTTGGTGATTGCTTCACCAGATAGTTCACACGGCTGGCCACTGGGCCACGCCGTGGTTGTGGCTGCATCGTGCGATCGACGTGGTGCTCGCCCCGCCCCTCGTCCTACCTACCCCACCTAGTCCTTAAGCTGGAACCTTGCCATCGTGACGAGTCGAGGGCCGGACGCAGCGGTGATGGGACGCTTCCCTACCTTGTTCTTCCCGCTAGCCGACACAGGCGATCTCGCTTGGGTCCTACCGCTTGTTGCTATGAACGTTACGCCAAGCCGCCTGGTCTCGTCACTTATGTGCATGAGCTCGCTCTGCCACCGCTGACCAGAGCCCCATTTTAACACGCCCTACCACTCGAGCTCATCCGCATGCTTTTCCCCATGACGTGGCCTCAACCTGGGCACCGCGCCCCGCCTTTCAAATTCGCCTAGCCCATGGTTTCTTAGCCCATCTCCTCACGTCAATAAGTAGCAGGGAGAGCTTGCTAGCCGCCTCAACCGCATCTGGCCACAGTAGAGTCCTACGCCGTGACAATTCGGTGATTAGCTCGTCGTGGGCCATGTTCGCCGTTGTGACCTTGGACAGGGGAGAGAGGTAGGATTGGAGCGGTAAGAGTTCAATTGCTTGTGGCTCTAAACTCACCTTGACTCACGCCCTCTGGTGCTCGCGCGGTTTTGGCCAGGAAGCTCACCATTGGTGCAGTGACGCGCTGGTGCCGCGCTCGGAACGCCGCTACGCGGATCGGTCGCACGTGGCTCAGGCCATCTCGGCACCCCTCCGCCTCAGCCACCACCGCAGCTCGAATCCTGGTGAGCTATCGTGCTTATTCGCTAACCCCTTCCCTCCAATGGCGCCGTAGGTCATCGGGACGAACCCGCCGCCATCGCTATTAGCCGCTCACCACTACGGCTCTTGGCAGTGCACCACCGAGCCTCTAACCGCCGCCTACCCCTAAGGGTTTAGCCGTAGGTAGTGGTCGGTTCGTGGTTGTTGTCGCAGTAAGTCTAGCGTGACTGGTGCAGCTGTCGTTGCCGTCGGTGCGCCGCGTCGCCGCTCGCGGGCACGCCGGGAACGGCCCCGTTGCGAAGGTAGCTCTTTTCCGAGGTGTTTTGTGCAAAGACCTAATCTAGAGAAACATTTGATTTCTAAAGAGCACAGGCCCTCCTTTGCAAAAACGGTCGCGCACGCGGGCTCCCCTGCCTTGGGCCGTTGCTGGGCCAACTGTTACGCGTTGCCACACCTCGCGTTGGACTGCTGGGCCGAGTAAGTGGCCGCCGACCCTTTTCTTTTCTAAAGCGTTTCCTAATTTAATTACTAAAGGCAAACTTGTAAATTCAATAGAAAATTTTGTAGTTAACCAAAAATTGTGAAACTAATTTTGTTATGTTCATAAAATTATGATCCATCTTCTAGTATATTTTATTCACCTAGTTTCATAATACTTTCAAGAGTAACCTAATTAATTTGAATACTTAATATTTCGAAAACACAAACTTGTAGGAATTGCTGTGGCAAATTGGTAGTAGTGTTGGCTCTAAAATTTTTACACCAAAATCCTAACATTTTTAGGCGCCTACAGTAATTTTTGTGGCTCTAGAATAATTGTTTTGCTAGGATAGCTAATAAGCCCTAGTTCGAATATATATATATATATATATATATTAAACAAAATAAAGAAATACTTTGAAATGGTATAACTAAAATACTGTGGTAAAATAGCGCGTTGTTGACAACATGAGTACGTAGTTTAGTACGTTAGTCATTAAAGTCAGCTCATTGGCTTAGCAATGTAATCATATTTTAGAGTGACGATTGTCGTGATTATTTACGTTTCCGCGTTGCATCCACGAATGTCATAATAGGAACCACGATGGATAGTGGAGTCGACCGGAGTAGCAGAAAAGATGGCATCTGGATGATCGTGTCACCACAATGGAATGCTAATTGTTGGTTATATCCTACACAGCCAAGCTCCGGTGCATAACCCCTATTATTCTACACTTTATTTTATGCTTGTGCATTAAGTTTTAAGGAGTTGAATGAAAACCACTTGCATATATATATCCTTATCCTATGAGTCCTACTAGTATGTCAGGATCGTGTAGATTGCTATGCTATAGGATCCGGTAGAAGTCGAGTGATTACCTGTCACTCGTGAGAGATAGGAAAGATATTATTGTTGTTATTATATTACTATCATATGGAATATATATGGAGGATAATTGGAGACCGGGCGGAATGGTACTTTAGATCTGGACTTGGTTACGCATTCGAGCGAGGCTCGGATTGCATTTGTTCCGCCTGTGTCGATTGAGGACCGTACGTGCTGTGGATGGTAGTCAGGTCACAGACTTATTATCCTGAGCACATACTTGCTTATGAGAGCGGGAAGGCTCGTTACGCTCTTGTCGTGGGTTTCGGCTCTTTCCGGACCGATTGATTTGAGGCGGGGAAATATGGAGGTCTAAGCACCATACTGAGACTGGGTCTCAAGTGTAGGGGCTTGGAGTCCAAGTTTGGACAGGGACCTAGACCCCTTGACAGGAGTGGAATGAGTTGGTCTTGTTTGCGCCTGGGGTACAAGCGAGGCATGCGTTTCGGGGTACCCAGCTGGGATACATTGATTCGCGAATCGCCGTTTCTGTGAGACGGTACCGACTTGGCTATGGTCTAGCACCGTAGTAAGAACTGAAATATAAAAGATGATAAAATGGTTCTAATTACTCACCACCTGCTTGAAAGTAGCATAGGTGCTTACATAGAATGAATAGTTAATGGACTAATGATGATTGCTAATAAAATTTAATATAAGGACGTACGTTTAGTAATGTGTCAGCAGATGCAATAATCCACAAGCCAAATAAGCCTTGTATATCCTTGAAGTCTTTTATTTTCCTCCTGTTAGGTAAATCTTGCTGAGTACAATCAAGTAACCAGGGTTTTATTCCCCCTATTGTAGGTGACCGATGGATGGTAGACGACTTTTGTATGTGGAAACCTCCTGGTGGGCTCAAGGGGATTCCTTTTTCACTACGACCGTAGTGTTTATTTATAACCCTCAATAAAAGATTTAGAAGAAAAGTTTTATGATTCACCATTAATCTTTATTTTCGCTGAAATTCTAATCATATGTTATTCTCCGCTGCAAGATAAAAATATAAACCTAAAATGTATTAACTCTTTTACATGTAAAACTGTCTTAATTCTGCTATTGCATTCAACTTGTTTAGGTACTCTAACGTTGTAATAAAGTGATGTAAGAGATGGTTAAGAATGTTGTAAGCTTTATTCTCTCATTTATGATCCTGATGGAAAAATATGAATTTTCAAGTTCTCCCTTGGGGTGTGCTCGATGGAACATCACGATTTAGTGCACTCTCTTGGGTACTTAGTGTCTAATGGAAGACAAGTACTTTTGGAAGGGCATTAAATTAGATGGTTCTGCCACATTTGGCAACATAACAAAAACTCACCCATCGTTCACAAAGTTTCTCTTTTGAGCAATCCATAATTTAGAATAAGGACTTTGAGAGGCAAATGTACAACATGTGGAAAATGTACAATATGTGGGAAATGTTTGCATTCACATAGACTAAGACAAGGATGCACAAACATGTTGAATGTTTGCACCAACAAAACATAATATATATCAAGTATAGATGGTAGGCCTTACCTAGTGATATCCTTAAAAAAGAGACATGACGGCTTTTTTCCATGTCATATGCTCTTTATTAGAAGACAAGGTTTTGAGAAACACTTCGTTTACATAAGGAAAATTCAGTTTTAAATTTAGTCAACTCCAATTTATTTTTCCCGTGAAGTCCATCATAGCTACGGCCCCTTTTATTGTGCATATGTAAGCACAGTATATGAATCAAATTATGGTAAATGATATAATTTCAAATCAATTAACATATATATATATATATTGTTTTATTACATGATTTATATGGAGAGAACTTAAACTAAGAGTAGTTAACTCCACAGAGTAGCATGCAAATATGTTTTAATACACTTATGCTATGATTGTATTTGTTTAAATATCTCTATGTGATTCACAATAATCATATAAATCAACTGATTCCTTCAAACAATGTAGTTTGAATTCTACTTGCAAAAAAACTACATTAACAATAACAATAAGCAAACAATGTTTGTGCTCTAGAAAGGAAGGAATTATGAGCTTCTTACTAAGTTTTTTCTCTCCGTGATGCATATTAGCACAAACTAACCAAGGGAAAATCAGCATCAATTTAGAAAGTAAAAGAAATTAAAAGGGTTAATGTACACGCAAACAATACCACTACTTTTTACAATTGGAAATTACGAATAAAAAAACTGTGATAAACCGTGAACTGATTATAGTTGTACTTGATTAAGGTGCTCTAATACACATCTAGCGGCCCACACATGACCCCTTCAATGTCAGCACAAACAATACCTTTCCTCCCATCGATCTTTCCTCTTCTCTTTTCGTTGGCCATTTTGTCTCTTCTGTCTTGGAGAGCTCACACAGTTAACTAAATCTATCCTCATTTTTTATTGAGATCTACAGAGATCTGTTTCTTCTCTGTTCTTTCCCCACTATGGTAGGTGTACATTCTCCAAGAAAGCAACGCTGCATATTCAAGCAGACAAAAACCATTCCAGTGAAAGTGGTTGTGGTTAGTGTTCCTTTAGCATTCATCGCCACTATTTACCAGTCTGTTGCTACTATCCATGATGATCTTGGTTGTCAGGTGGCCAGTACGAGTAAGGCCATTCTGTCTCTTGGGGGTGAGCAATTGAAGTTTCCTACAATAGAATAGGAAAAGAGGGTCAAAAAGAAACTTCTAGTGTTTCAGTGGAGTGCAACAGTTGAACAAGCGCAAAAGGTAATATCGCTTGAAAGAGCGAGAGAGCAGTATATACATACGCTAGCAGTGAATAATATAATGCAACATATGTACATGTATGAATGATCAAGATTGACATAAGCTGTAGTATATCTTCTAACTGTCTAGTTCCTCATTTACGTACGTTCAACATGACATAGCTGTTAAACCATGCAATATAGCTTCTAATCATCAGGGTGTTCTATAGTATAATATAGCTAAACTAGTATGGTTTATTAATAAAAATTCTTCAAGAATGACTTAAATTTGACTATATTGACAAGATAATCATCAGGGGAGACTGTTACATGAGAGCATGTGCATGCATGGTTTTCGTGTGAACCCACTCATAAAAAAAAAGTGTGCAAGAGAAGACACAAATGATATTATTGCCCCGTTTTCCTTGGCACTTTTCTGAAGAGATAACAGTAAAAAACTCATATAGTCTGAAAAGAGAGGAGGCTACCGACACGGAGAAAAAGCCCTCGTTTTCACGTATATGGTCATGAAAGCAAGGAAAGTATGGTCTTGTTTTTACTCTGGTCTTTGGTCTCTCCTTTGGCACCGAAAAGCAAAGCAAAGGGTGGTCCTTGTTTGCATATATTCATGATGTTTCTTCTACTCACTGTGAGTGCTACAGGGCTCTCTCTCTCTCTCTCTCGTATGCATGCTGTAAAAGCACCTTAAATAAATAACCAATCTAAATAGGGAACCAAATGGGAGGAAAAAGCTGTCATGGTGAGGGCTAGTTTCAGAATGCTAGAACGACAAAGAGACTACGGGACCCCACAGTGAAGTTTCCTCAGGACCCCCCTGGTACAGTCTTTCTTCTCCTAGGCTATCCCTCACCTCGCCTGCATGAGAACATGCGTGCAGCTTTGCTGCCTATACATACAAAATAATCAATATAACATGAATGCACACTATTTGATCTCGCTGCGCACAAGTTATACAAAGATCAAAATTGGATGGAGGGAGCATCTTATTAGGGAGAAAATTTAAAAGTAACCTATAATAAGCACAATATATATGAAAGATAATGTTCATATGCATGCCGAATCGCTAGATGTCTGCACACATTCTAAATTATTCAGACATATAAGAGCCTAATGCTAATCATATGTCGTTGTGATGTTGATCCTACTACTACCACGTTTGCACACGGTTTAAAAAGAACTGAAAGAAATTAGCTTACTCCTTTTGTGCTTCTGGACGACGTGCAGCCCATTATCAGTTCTTCCAAGCCGGCAGACCTGCGGTCAAGCTTTTGTTGTGGCTGTTGCTGTTGGTGCTGAGGCTGTTGTTGCATGTTCTTTGTTATAATAATGTTGAAATGGAACAATAAATAAAGCAGTGTTCTTGTAAACAAAATAATTAAAGCAGTGTTTCAGTAAAGAACCAAGCTAGCTAAAAGCTAAAGGAACTATTGCAAAGAGTATATGGCCATGGAACAACAGTTCTTTGTTTACAAGCTTAGGCCAATATGTATGCCCACAGTCGACTTAAATCAAATGAAATCTCCATGGATATGGTACTAAAATGGTTGGTGTGTTGCATCAATATCTTCAAACAAAAAACATCATGGGACTGAATTACAAATGTATGTGGGAGTGAAACATGGAAATTTGAACATTATTCATGTATAGATCTAGTTTAATGTGCCATTCAGGTATACATTTTCCAGGTATGCATGATGCAGAGGTGATTTCAGTACTCAAAGAGCACGAGTGGAAATTACTAAATACACATAGAAAAACAGTAAGTACATTTTTGTGATTTATTGCACATGTATATGTAAAAAAATAGTGCAAATATTAGAATGAAAAGATTTTTGTGACTTTATACACGATGTGCTGTAAGACAACCTTGATGGTTGTGTACCAAAATTATCTAGAAATTTTGTATACAACAATAATACTACTAGTTTTTCTATCAGAAAAATGTATTGTGCTAGCTAGGATTGTGTAGACAAGAAAGCAAAGATAGCCACTCCAAGGCTCTTAACATTTTCCATGTTGGTAGCAAAAAAAACTTTTCTAAAAAAGGAAAGAAAAGAAGAATGAGCAATACGAGCCACCATTCAATTAAAGGAGGAAAAAGGTGCCTTGTAACATGGTTTTTACTAATTTGAAAACGCTCAAGGATGGGAAGAAGATGGGATGGAAAAAGATACAACAACTAACTAAGACATACTAATTAAGAATACACGCATGCATGTAATAATTTGGCCATTCCAAATTAGCTTGTGTGCACAATCCAACTACAAGCAGCCCAATATGCAAGGCAACCTTAATTATTTTTTTCTCGCAAATGCATGAAAGAAATAAAACAAGCCAATACGAATTAATCACCTGAAATTTGTCATGGTGATGGAGAAGGATTGCTGGCACATGGAACTGATCATGATCGAGAACAACTGATGCGTGCTGCATTGCAGGTGGCGCTATAGTCGAGACGGGGTTCGATGGCCTACTGATCAGGAAAGCTGTAGCAGGCACGGCAGTCGTCGTCGCGAGCACCGGGCCGTGTGGCTGCTGCCCCTGGCCGGCATGATGCGGTTCTGATCGTCCAAGCTGATTAGATGGCACCTGATCACCACCTATACCAACCTGCTCCGTACAAATACGCGTATTGATCTTATTAGCGGTCAGAATATACACACACACTGTTACTTTCTATTTATATAATTAACTACGCTCTATCTTTTTTCGTGAATAAGAGAATAAGACGCACCAATTATTCAAAGGAAATTTATTGGTAGTTTTTGCTTTCACGGTGGGTGGATGCCTGGATGGTTCCTAGGGTTGCTTTCAATACGAGTAAAATGATGTGAGACTCGAACTACTTAAAAGGGTCCATACTGTGTGATGTGTAGCTCATCATCTTTTGCTTTAGATTGGTACGTCCTACATTTGGTCAGCTACCAAGACACCCATGCATATATATGCAACAAGCTAGGAAGCTCATCTAATCAAACAGAAAGTAAATATATCCATATACCAAAAGAAAAATAAAGGAAAAAAATATAGCAGAAGCATGCATGGGTGCATGGGAATGGATTGATGCTGATCTGCATGATGTTCTCCCCAACCTAACCAGCAACAGTTTCACATACACACTTTGACTCTATCCCGGCCCGGTCCTCTCAAAGAACAAACAACTGCACCAGTCATGTATGTACTTACAGAGCTAATGAAGAAGAATGGTGGTTATGTTCTTACCTCCTGATCGAAGGTTTTCCTGAAAGGCGCGAAGCTGAAATGGTCCGCAGGCTGCTTCATATGCTGCTGCATCTCGACGGCCGTGGTGACTGTGTATCCGGCCGGGAACGATGTTGCTGACACCTCGTGGTCCCTAGACGAGCAGCTGCCACTGCCACTATCCCTCCTATGCTGCTCCTGCGCCGCCGTCGTCGTTGCTGCCATGGCAGTGGCAGCGGCGCCCCGGTCGGAGGACCAGCTGCACTGCCTGGGTTGTGTCTGGTAGAAGATCTTGCACACCACCAGCTCCCCCTCCTTCTCCTCTTCTAGGTCGCCGAGGTGGTACTGGTGCATGACCCAGTTCGTCTTCTCCGGCTTGCGGTGCTTGCCGAAGTTAGTGTACAGTACCAATATCTTCTTGCACCCCTTCTGCCGGCCGTTCACCATCACCGGCCGCGTCTTTCCAGTCTTGTGCCACCTCGTCTCGCCCTTATGGACATCGCACTCCGTCTGTATCTTCCTCCTCTTCCTCGTGCCCGTCGTGTAGGCCTTGGACGGCCGGTGGAAGAAGTGCTTGCTTAGGCCATCCCTCGTCACACCTGATGATGATCATCAGCACACGCAAGGCATATGGATGCAAGAACTGTGTTAGAAACTGAGAGCTGGGTGGGTGGCCAATGTTTCTTGAAAGATGCAACAAACCTCTGGAAAAGATAAGAGAAAGAAAGGAAAGAAACCTATTTGGAAACTTCAGAAGCATCTTACCATCATGACAGAGAGGAGAGAGGTAGATCAGGGTAGGCACAACTCTCCATAAACAATAATTCTCTTTGCATATACTCCTACCCAAGAGCACATGTAGAGAACACTAAGAATAGAGGGTAGAGCACATCGAGAACAAGGGAATATATGCCATATCCCAAATCCAAACCATGGCACATAATTCATGGTGAAACAATCCCAACATACAATATATCACTCCATGAAAAGCAAAGCTCGAAAAGCCAGGAATATGTCTGTATAAGTATATGGTTCAGAAATATTTCTGCTCATGCCTAGCTTATTAGATAGAGCTACCTCGCTCACCTGGAAGTTTCTCGGGGTGGGTGTAACATATGCCGTCCTCCCCATCTATCGTGGGTATGAACTCGTCGATGAGAGGGTGAGATCTCGAGCCTTCATCCTTCACTTTCGCCTCGAGGTGCTCGATCAGCTCCTGGTCAGTTGGATCGAACTTGACGCCTGCCGGCAGCCCCACCCAATCCTTGTTGCAGTTACAGCAATTAATCCCATCAAAATAAGTTGCACCACCAAGTCTCATGGTAGTATGATACTGATGCTAGCTGAGGGGGTGCAACTGTGCGCACAAGATACGAAGGCAAAACGAAATTGTCAACTTGACAGTTGACACATACTTACTACATACCGGTTTGCTGTCGATTTTCTCGCCGCAGTGGGGGCAGTGCTTCGCGGTGGAGATCCGGTGTTCCTCGAGCTTCTCGTTGATGAGCTTGGAGCTGCTGCTGTGCCCTCTATTCATGTCTGGTTCATACGCGGCACCAGGAGGCAGTGCGCATGCATGAGTAGTAGTAGTAGGGGAGGGATGATTCTTGTTTCTCCGTCTTGCTGCGCTGCGAAGTAAAATCAAAACAAGCATATATATGGGCATCAAGCAAAATTCAGCAAGAACACGAGATGGATCGAATCGAAACAAGCAGGTGAACGAAGGCAAGAGAAGCAAACCGAAGAACAAGTCGGAGGAGCAGTAGTACTAGGGGTGCAAAGGAGAGAGCGAGCAGTGAGGGAGAGGGGTACATATAAAAAAATCGAGGCAGGCAGGCAGCTGCTTTCACCGGTTTAATACATGAGAGCAGAATTCCTGCCTACTTTAACTGAAGCCCACCCCACTAGCCCTTGAGGAAAAGTTAAAGGGCCCCTCTCCTCCCAAGCTCTCTCTATCTCTCTCTCGCTCTCGCTTAAGCACGACACAAGACATGGACACCTTTCATCTATGCTTGATTAATTATAATTAAACTGCCCGTAAGATGGTGCCGCGGCATGCACCTTTGCCTTAGACGTTTACTGTTGATGCAAGTGTTTTTTTATTGGGCTTTCAGACTTTCAAAGTTCAGGGACTGTCTGGCTGGCAAGCTAGGACAAGCAAAAGCAAAAGGCATATGAAGAACGGCTGCCTCACCACACCACACCACAGCTGTTACTGCAGATTCCACACCCTGCACTGCACTCACTCCCACGCGGAGAGAGAGAGATTGTATCTACTACTATCTAGCCAAGTAGGCTCAAGGTAGCAGCATTAGCATGCATGCATATATCAAACACGCAAATCTGAGTATCTGACATCAGCAACGAGTAAACCACTTAGGTTATCCAGTGCACAATGTAAGAAAAGGGCCTAATAATCACGGTTCACATAAAGTAAACATGTGAGGATTGGTCAAGGGGTTTTTTTTTGTCATTATTGTTATTTTTTCTCTAGCTTGCATTGCATGCATGGGATGATGGAAAGGGGAAATTTCTTTCCACTGCACAATAATGAAGTTTGCAAATTGCAGGAGCAAGATATAACAGAGATAAGAGGTCTCACATGGGCATATATGGAGGAGGCCTTGTGCTCAAATGATGATCCTTTTTGCCATGAGACTGCGTGATGCTGGAGCTGGACAGAGAGAGAGGTGAATCCCAGAGCTTGCTTCCTACCCAAGGCAAATGGAGCAGTACAACACTTGATGGACCCCAACACCTCGAATACTTGTAGTACTACAAACTGGGTATAGAGGGTAGAGCCGTAGAGCACATAAAAAATATGCGCCTGCTGCATCGCATGCCTGGACAAAGGAGCAACCTTAGCTTCTCCTACAAACATCGAAAATTCATGAATTTTTATAGATATGTAAGCTTTTTATTAAACACTAAAAGGCATTGTAATGAGCTAGAAATAAACTCAAATTAAACCACTAGCCGAGGATAAAAGAGACAAATACATTCATCTAATTTTCTATGCATCCAGAATACGCATGGCCTGTATATATTTTTAAAGCAACGGAGAATGCTTCCATGGACGGTTAGACCTAAGCATTTTTGCCTATCTTACCAAAAGTTGTGGCACAGCAGACGATAGAAGCCACGAGCAAGCAAGACTGCCAAAGAGAATCTTGCCACATCTCCTTGTCCGGTTGTCCCCGTGACATGTGGAGTTTTGGTGGTAAAAAAAAGAAAAATCTGGCATGCTTTTTTCTGGATAAGGAATTCCATTGATAATCAAGAGGAGTTTACATGAATGTGATCAATTAGATCACGGACAAGGGTGCACTTCTAACAGGGTGCTGATTCTGATGTTCAATAGTAGCACAAGAAAATGTGGGAGAAATACTGCACACGGAAAAAAAAGGAGTTTGCTTCAATACTAGTAACTCAATCCACGAATCACAATCCACTACATGTTTACTTGGTCTACAACATATCACATACTAGTAACATTTATCTCACTTTCATTTTAACGGTGGGAAAAGTGTGCAATTTGGAAACATATATTATTAAAAAATATTTTCACAATAGATTATATGGATGTCGATCTAAACATAGATTCGAAAGATATTTAGTTTATTTTGTATAACTACAGAAGTGGGCAATGTAGATACATATTAAAGGGGCTACTTTATATTATATTTTAGATGTGGTAATTTAAAAAACAAATTTAGGGGTTACTTTGTACGTAGTATTATCTTTTCTAATGGTAGATATGCGTAACTTACATGTAAATTTATACTGCTATTCTAAATTATTTTTCACAATGATATAGGTGGTGCAAATTTGGGGGGTTCCTTTATGTGCTTAAGATGCAAACTTAAGTGGCTAATGTATGTATTTTTAAGTGGATAACTTTTAGAAAATTGAGTGGATCCAATGATAACTATTGACGATGAAATGTGATCCCATCGTACGGACACAAGATTGCACTTCTAACGGTACACTGATCCTGATGTTCAGAATTAGCACAAGAAAATACGGGAGGAACACTACAGGCCCGCGTTATCTGCGTGCGTGGCTAAGTTTGCTTCAATGGTACCAGTAACTTGAATGCACAAGGCACAGATCACAATTGACTGGTTGTCCGAAGTCCGAACAGCTGGGGCCCAGGCGCCACTTGCCCCGGACACCACCGTTCAGCTATCCCTGTGGCTCCCCTCCCATTGTTGTCATGTATGGAGACCGCAGAGCCCAGACTGCAGAACAGAGCATGAACCTGACCAGACCAGCGGCAGGGCTGGTGGTGGCCCCACTCGCAGAGGACCATAGGGTGGGCCACCCTGCTCGGACGGACAGGTATCATATGCCTAAGGTCTAGATTAAGTGGGCTTGGCTTGTCCCCGCGTGGGACTGGGCGTCGGCGTCGGCGGCGCCCGAGAAGGCGCGAAAGGGCCAGCTGATTGGGTTGTTCAACAACACCACCTGGACGGACACCAGCAGCAGGTCCCGGCCCTGGTCTGCTGCTGGCTCTTCTCTTCCCTTCCGCCTCACTCCATCCAATCCAATCCCATGAAAAGAGCGAGGAAGGATTTTTCTTCTTCTTATATATATAAAAGAAAAAACAAGAGTAGAAAGCCAAGGTAGGTAGGGCAATCCAAGCGATCTCTTCGACCAGTCCACCTCCCCGTGTGTTGCATTGTGCCTCTCATGGGCAAATCGGGCCATTATGACCTGACAACCCCTCCCAACGTCGACACGACGTCTCGCGGGACGACGCGCGCGCGCGGCCATCGGACGGAGCAGCCGCGCATGCGGCCGGCGGCGATCGTTCCGTGCGTCGTCGTGCTGCGTTTGCTTCGTAAAAAAAAAGTCGAAACACGGTTCCGGCTGATTTGTTTGGAGAGAAAAACACTGTTCTGACTGAAAAAAAATTAAGCTAAAAAATACGGATCATAAGACAAGTGATTAGGGCCAGGCCCAAGCTCATAAATGTTACGACTAATCAACCCAATCACGTTTGACTAAGCATGGCAGCAGGCTTGGGAACGGCATCATCAGCGGGTCGGTCGGTCGAGAGTTGTTTTGGGAGCGAGAGGAGAGGTCTGCGTACCGGTGTACGACCGTGCGTACATACACTTGGAGTCGCGGTTCTGGCCAACCGACGGATCCGTCGCCACCCGCGCAATAATTGCCATCCCATTTGCTTGATGGGCGCGCAAACGCTGATCGCTGATGCTCAAGTCGCAGCAAATACGTATATATCCTGATGCCATGAGTGCACTGCATATACGTTCTTTTTTCTGGCATTGCTGAAAGCAACGCCCCAGAAAGGCTAATAAGTAGTAATGCAGGAGTATTACTTGGAGTAGTTAGCAGAATGTACTCATGCATTTGACTGATCTAGGTTCTTAGCGTGAGTGAAGAGTGAACTAGTGGTACCTGGAGAAGCGCTGTGGATCGATGGATGCAGCAGCTGCACTCCCACGTTAAGACCTGAGCAGCCATCTCTCTGAAACCCGACCGTCCACCTGAATCAATATAATATACGTAGCAGAGCAGACGCGTTGTTCAACGGTCCATCGATCACAGCTTCCTTTGCACGGTGCAACCTGTGCACACACAGCGAGATCAGTCAAACAGGTCGGGTTATCGACCTCTCGACACATTCCATGACAACAGATATGCACCTACCCCTATCCTAACCAGGGCGATAGGAAGATGAGAACAGCCATCAGCTGCAGGAACAGAGTGTTGGCGCGTCGCGGTTTTTACAGTTGATCACCGGCTAGCCTGCATGCCACGCGAAGACGACAGCGGATAGAGTATAGATTAGAGGCAGGCAGGACGGGACGCCCAGGTCGTATATGATAAGTACCATGCGTGCTGCTGTTTGCACTGCACCTGCTCTGGTCGTGCTCGGCACTTGGGGCAGACAGCACAGGTCCCCCTCCCATGCGCCATGAGGACTTTACAACATCATCAGGCACGAGCTTCAACAAGCACATGCTTCTTCCTTCCCTTGATGGTTATTTTAAGTGTATATGTATACCTACTGGACAAAAAGGGTAGCAACAATCATTAGATGATCAAACTGAAACAGCTGCGGCTTTATGGGAACAAGCAAACATTACATTCATGCATGAGGAAATGCAGTGAGAAGCGTAAGTGATTGAATTGAAGAAACAGAGATAGTTTACCCCATTTTGCCTGTCATAAACGATTACATCTCACTGGCTGTGCTGTCTTCCAGGCCTATGCATCAGCTACTTGAGAATACTGTGAATCTGAGTTCTAAAAATTGGGGGATATGAATGGTTTGATCTAGGAAGTGAGCCTAGCTCAACTGGTTGGGTGAGAGGTGTGGCAATACACCCACCCATCCAGGTTCAAATCCCATCTTATACTGAATTTGGGTGACTATTTCTCTTCTTAATGAAAAACCACCTAGTTCCTCCTAGATTGGATCTCATTTTTTTCATCAGCTTCTTTTTTCCTATACAACTGGGTGTTCTCAGCTGGGTTTCTTCAAGATACAGTATATGTTAAGGTTCA